GACTTTGAGTATAGAGTATTTCTTTGAGTATTTCTCAAAAATGAAAGTTAGTTTCAATTACATTCCTTAATTTTTATATCGATTAACGTTTCTGATGCTGATGAAACCCTCGGAGGCCTCAGAAATGCAGAAATGAAACAATTTTTTTTTTCACCCGGAGCCAGAGTGTCATATTTAGGCTTTTTTCGGAGGGAATTTCTTCCCAGTGTATCAGGGTCCTTGCAGTTTTTAAATGTACGGTATGCTGCCAATATTATCGGAGTGTATATCACTCCACACTGTTAGAAATTTTTCGAAACTTCACGGAGGTTTCGAAATGGGAGTGACATTGAATCCGATTTAAGGATAATCGGGCGAGGAGGAAATGTAGGAGGTGAGGCAGAGGGGTTTCGATTGTTTTCCTGCCGAAAACCAATCGCTGAACAAAAAAATTTTCCCATTCAGATTCAAAATTCAGGCAATATTAGGGAGTATCTCCGGTTAAAAATTATTTTTGAAGCTAATCAAATTTATTTGTATCTGTTCCACGCATTGAATGGTTTTCAGATAGTTTTTTTTAATAAATGAAAAAATATTAATCCATGCGAAAAAGTGGCAACATCGTCGGTAGTTAATTTTTTTTCACCAGGAGCTGGTACCACTGGCTCGAGGGAGCTCCAATCACAACGCTTCATCGCTTTCTCTCAAGAGACGTTTAAATTGACCGTGCTACCCCCACCCGATCGGTACTTGGGACGTTCCTGCTCGTTTGGGCTGCGTGCGCAGAAATTTCATTTTTCAGTACTTTTTTCGCTATTATTAATAAACAATGTTCCTAGGCGACAATCTTTTTCACTCAAAAAATCACTGATCACATGTTCTAAATGTGTATAAAGCGTCATGACTTTGGCTGCATTTTTTTCTTGGGTTTTGCAGTTTTTTTGATGATTTCCATAAGATCACAGGTTAAATGACCACTTTTTCAAAAATTCATAATAAATTAACCATGCTCCTTCAGCAGTCTGAAACTTTGCACACGCCTTTTCCATCATTTAAAGAATACGTAAAAAAAAGAACGAAATGGCTGCTTTTACCAACATGAATATTCAGAAACAAAATGACATGAATTTTCAATTTTTCACTAAATTTCCCTGATTTTTCCGAATTTTTACGGAATGGTTGAAGTGAAAAATCAAGCATTTTATTGATTTCAGATCATTCAATCAGAAAATCAATGGAATATTTGATTTTAAAATGGCAAAATTTTCTGAAATTTTAGTAAAAATTAAACATGATAAAAATTTTGGTAATTTGAGGCGGAAAATTCAGACGAAAATTTTCAACAGTGCACACTGATAAAAGGATTTAGTGGCTGTCAACGAGGCTTCTTAACTATTAACAGCATTTATGAATAGTTAACGAATCGTGGTAATAGTTAAGAAGCCTCGTTCACAGCAACTAAATCGTTCCGCCGTTTCTATCAGAGCATATCGCCAAAGTGGGCGCTTGTCATGTACACGTCTAACGTATGAGTTGAGTGGTAGTTATGAAATCACAGGTGAAATCGATTCTTATCTCGTACAAAAATATACCAGACGTTGGTCGGAAACCAGAGGCGATGCAAAATGATCGATCGCTAATCGATCGAGTGACCCGAATACTTATAGAAGAAAACGAGTTTCGCTTCAGTGATTGGAGTTTTGAGTTCAAGTTCATGAAGTTGAAAGAATGAAAACATAATTCTCGTTTTATCATTATTTATACAAATGCCGAGGGAATTTCACATTGAAATTTTCATTCAATTTTGATTTTTAAAACACGAATAGGAATGATGAATTTCCAGATTTTCCTCTCAAACAGAGGAATTATCGTCGATTCGTCATGCAAATGAGGTAGTTGATTGTGGCCGGCTGTACATATTCGAATGATGGGAGACGAAGCGCGAGACATGGTTTCTTGTCAAACCGGCGCGCGCAACTTGTGCACGCGAACGCGCGTGCCTGGCGTTTGCTGTTGCCCCTTCTCGCTATATACAAACCCCCCTCCCCCCGCCCTATGTTATAACGTGCATTCACTATAAGGAGAACTTGAGGCGGTGCACCAGTCTCAGTCACTGAAGTTGCACGCTTCACACAGCGTATGTGTACACACATATTCCCTCAACGTGGTGGCCTAGCATGGAATTTCCTCGAGGCGTTATGCAAGCGACGTCACGCGGTATCTACACAGTAGCATCAACATCTGGTTAAGGAATTGCATGTCCCTGTCATCGTGCGATTCTTTTTACACCCGTGTGAAAAACCATCTACCTTATCCACATCAATGCGCGTCGGCATTAATCTGCTGCTTTATTGCAAAGTTGATCCTCAGTTTTGCCGCGATCAACTCTCGGGGTTATTATAAAAGTTTTTTCTGTCACTCTGCTGTGAAGTTTCATGAGCGAAAACGTCGCTCACTCACGTCGCGACAAAATAGTAGGGGAGAGTGGGGCAAAATGAAACAGCCCAAAAACGACTATTTGAGGCAATTCAAGCGAAATAGTATATTACACGCCCGAGCCTTGGAAAACAGTTCACCGTTCCCCACGTGCAAGATTGCCTTCCGAGCCGAAGGCGAGGATGGCAAGCACGTGGGGGAGAGTGATATGTTTTCCATGGTCAGGTGTGTATATTAATTTTCGTGTCGAAGGACCTGAAAATTTTCTATCCATTGATGTCATGGATATCTCCCAGATATCCTCCACAAATAAATCAGTAGCGAAGTGGTAAAAGGAGATAAGTCGATTTTGACTATTGAGCAGTTTTCAAACAGTATCTCGGAATCTAAGGGAGATAGCGAAATTTTTGTTATAACTTATTTTGTGGAGCCGATTGAATGCTACAATAAATGTAATTACGAAAATTTCGCTATCTCCGTTAGATTCCGAGATATTGATTGAAAACTGGTCAATAGTCAAAATTGACTTATCTCCTTTTAGCACTTCGCTACTGAAATATTTCCCATTGAACAACATTTGACTCCACGATTACCTTTTGTACGGTAAAATTTGCCGAGATTTTCTAGATGATTGTTCTCCAACTTTTCTCTCCGTGTAGCTGACGACTTGACGCCTTTCTCCTTCGAATAATTCGATTTGCTACTCACAACAAGTCCGAAACCCAGATTGTGTCAGTTGTAGTTGACGTACTTAATAAAACATGTGGGGCCATTCAGATATTATGTCACGTATTTTTTNTTTTTTTCTTTTTTTTACCCCCCCCCCCCTCCCCTCTTAGTCACAAGCCCTCAAAAACATCGATTCCCCTCACTGCTATAGTAATTTTCATAGTTTTTTCATTGAATTGAATTTAAAAGACAAGAATAAGACAACGAAGAAAAAGGATCACTTGGACATTCAAATCTTTGCGCGACGTTCTTTAAATACTTTGTAACGTATTAAATTCTTGTCATCATAGCATTCTGAAATTCCTCTTTATGAATCTTTCGGATAGTTCGAAGAACTGGAGACCTCCATTTTTTTTGTGAAAGGGGACGCGAACAAAATTGCATTTGTGATTTTCGGGATCGAGAATGCAAAAAAATAGTGAGTGACATCACAACTGGGGCATCCCTTTCTTCGTTACCAAGCTACAAGCAGTAAATTTCAGTTTAATTATTCCGAGAAAATGAATGAAAAAACAGGAAAATGCAGAGGAATGTCTCCTTGAATTGAAGATCCCTTCGAATTTTCGGGGAATTCCTTCAAAATTCCTGGAATTGCAAGAATTTTAAAGGCATTCCCTGAAAATTCATGGGAATTTGACAGTGAATATTCATTTTCACATAAAAATTCATGTAAATTGTGGAATTTCTGGCTATCTGGCGCTAACAAATTGGAACTTTATGTGAATTTTCAGAGAAATTTGAAATTCCATTGAACCCCTCCATTACCATTCCATTCTTCCCCTTAAATCGAATTCAAGATCTTTTTTTTTTAGAAAATTCAGCCAGATTGTTTCAAACGTGAGAGACCTCATTTTGGAGGAACCTCTCTTAGAACCACCTCCTTCTAAATCACTCATCAGAGAAACTACGAATAATTATACAGTTGTGATTGGTTCACTCGAAGCAATTGTCACTTTTCTGATTAATTCGATAATTTATGTATCATCCAGGAATATCCATATCCAGTATCCAACCGCCCACAAATGTTACACTGCCTAACATATTTTTCATTACCCCAAATGTCAATAACCACAAGAGAATATTATACATGCACCCCATATCAGCAGAGTTCGCGGTGCTAGTCCCTTGAAAACAATTTCCGTAATGAATTTGAGAGTAATACAGACGACCACAAGAGAGGAGCCCAAGAATTTTAAATGAAATATTTTTCGTTTCGTTTCGGCGAACCCAAACCGATTGCGATTCTGATCGAAATCAATCGCGATATTAGTATTCACCCCATCCACTCAATTGTTCTGTTCCACTAACTCGATTTTCCTCAATACTTCTCCGTAACTAATTCGGATTCACCATTGCTGCTCATCAAGCACACACGCATGGGATGTGGTAGAGCTCGTCAATATGGATCACGATATTGTAATCGATCAATGATGCTATACGCGGATCCATTGGCTTCAATGGCTCGCCACTTTTGCAGAAGTGGGTAATTGAGGTTTCAGTAAGGCTATCGTTATTTTACGAGTACTGCATACAACGGAATGGGGAAACCCTCAGGAAAATATGTGGTCACATTGAGCTCGATATCTTTTCATTGCCAATGCCGCATCCACTGCAAGTTCCACTTCAAGATCCACTTCAAGATAAATTAATGCGGAATAGCTACTCAATTAGCGATTAATTTTCAATAACCCGGGGATTTACAAGCATTTCAACCGGTCAGCGTGAATTAGTAATTGTACATGAGAATCTATAATCTATTTTCAAAGTGCGATTATGAAATTAATCGTAAATGATTGCGTATTAATACATGATTCCTATTAGTTTGTGCCAATGACACGTGAAAGTTAATTACTTACGGAGCCGTAGAGCAGACCACAGGAATCCATGCAGAGATAGAGACAAGTAGCAACGCCCTGTATTCGTAGTTGCCCCCGAGACACTGATGTCCTTTGGAATATTGCTGAAATCAGAAAGGGGAATGATATTGAATTACCGATTAATGTTTCTGCAAACAGGTAAAGGTGGAAATTTTGCGATAGTATTTTGATATGAGTTGCTTACTGAGCATGTCTTGTGGCAAGATGAATGGAGGATTTATCCGAACAATTTACACTTTATGAATATCTCTGGAGCATTTAAATGTGGATTTCATCACAAGGCCAAAAAAAACTTTTATGCCACTCATGCCTGAAACCGGCTGGATTACACACTCGACGCTTCGCGTCTCGTGTCTAATTCAGCCGGTTTCAGGCTTCGTGACATAAAATTTTGTTCAGTACTTGTGGGGAAATTTCGTCCTTAACGTGTGTGGTTACATCACTCGCCTTCGGCTCATGCTGTAAACCCCACACACGTTAAAGACGAAATTGCCCCACACGTGCTGAAATATACTATTCCGAGGAATATGACGTTGCAGCCCGAGCCGAAGGCGAGGGGTCCAATCATATGAGCTAGAAAAGTTTTTTTAGGCCGTGTGAAGAAAGCATTTAACACACGAGTTTAACGTTCCCTGTTTTTAGAAGCGTAACGTACTCTATTTATTGAAATTAATGTTTGAAAAAGTCATACATTTCCACTGAAGATTGTGATAAGAGTCTTGGAAATATGTAACAAGTTACATTTCCTTTGACATTTCAAGGAATTTTGTCATTGAATATCATAATTTCATGAAAAATCCGTGGAAACTGTAAATTTCAGTTCAATTATTCCTAGGAAGTTGATGAAAAATCTGGAAAATTCTGAGAAATCTCTCCTTGAATTCGCGACTCCTCTGAATTTTCAGGGAGTTACTTCGAAAATTCCTGGAATTCCAAGAATTTTAAAGGAATCCCCTGAAAATTCAAGGGAACTTGACAGTGAATATTCATTTTCATTGAAAATTCATGTATATTGTACAATTTCCGCTTTCGGGCCTCTAAAAAAATTGGGTCTTTACTTGAATTTTCAAAGAAACTTGAAATTCCATTGACTTTTTCCCTTTAAATTGAATTCAGAGTCGTTCTCCGGAAAATTCAGCCAAATTTTTTTACCAGTGCACGTTTCAACGGAAAATACTACAAACCCGGTGTGAGGGAAGAGGCCGAACGGAAAACTGTGCTTATGTAGGCGTTGTGTACTGTAGTGAGGGTTCCGTTCAAACGATCGATAGAATCAAAGATCGAAGAGATAAAAGAGGATTGATGGCATCGGAAGTTCAATCAAAATACAATTGAATTTTCTAGCGAATTCGTAAGATTGTTCTATGTAGTTCGTTCGCACCTGCAAGTACGGGATACACACATTTAGTTCGTAAAATACTCGGATCATTAACAATTAAAGCAGAGGACTCTAATGTGTAATGGCTGCCGTATGGCTGATGCAATTCAGTTGAGAGGACTAGGGGAGGGTGTGCCTGTACCGCCCACCTAAGGGGAAATGCCAGTTTTATAATTTATATTTCAACTTGAGTATAAAAAACGTATTTGTGACACTTCTTTAACTATTGAACTCGTTATTCTGGAAGTGTAGACGCCTAATTCTCCTTAGAATCCACAAAATTGATTGAAAATAAAAGAGAGAGCCTATTGACCGGCCCTACCTGCCGTCGGGTAATACCGCTCGGCACGATTCCAATGCCGCTCATAGGGTTTTGCGTGTATCGCTCGCGCCGCAACCTAACCTGTACTCGAGTGCTGTCGAGCAACTACGTGGCCGATCCTATGAGCGGTATTACCGGCTCCGCTCGGCGTCAACAAAATTGTTGATAATTATTGACATGAGTGGAGTTTTGAGTTCGAATTGGTCTCAAATTACGCACGAAAGTACCACGAATCGAATAATCACAGTTTAATATGAGAATTCAGCGTTTGAAACTATCAAAAATCTTAATTAAAAGTCCACAAATTTTGCACTGTAAAGACCTCAAAACTTCGTTACGTGTTTTTTCATATTTAAAGTGGTAAATAAAGTGAAATTTTTCCGACAATCACATCCTATCATCAAATTCTTCATGATCAGGAACAGAAACAAATTTTCAAGTTGATGGTTGTGGAGAAAATCGGGTGAGCAGTATTATCCGCTGAGCGATACAGGCACACCCTCCCCTAGACCGATGGTTTCAACTACGCACGTAGTTACAGGAATAACGCCACCGGATTGGTCGAAAATGTAACGACAGCGCCATCTCTCAAACACTGACATAGGAATGAACCTCAAGTTGTAACTATAAAGTGTTGTGAATGAAAAGGCACTTTCCGTTTACTGTTGTAAAGGTTATGAAAAGTGTCATTTTCTGCACAAATATCTGTAAACGAAAAGGGACTGTTGTATCGAGCGTAAGGGGTACTTATAATTATAATAGGTTCTAGGCTTGAAGGGATAAATCCCACCAATGGTTTATCGGCATTTAAATCTGAGTGATTATAAAGATTTTACGACTCTTGTACGCATCGGAGTCCAATTCAGGTCTCATCTGTGCAGTCTCAAAAAGCCTCCTAAATAATACATTATTTGTATTTTATCACTTGGACATCATAATCCAGTTACACTGGCAAGTGCCACGTTGACAATGCTGTATGTCCAAACATTCAACAATAATGCAATTGACCGCATCTGGGGCATAACAGGACTTTTCCAAGCATGTGTTTAAAAAAAAATTCAGTCGATGGTTTTCTGCACGCAATTGCATGTAATGATAAAACGAAAGTTAATTTAATTGTTGATCACCTCTACTGATCTATTGAGCGGAGGAGCAGAACCTCATTATTGAAAATATTACCCCGCAAAAAAACCTAACTTGTTGGTATTGATGAAACTCTGAAAATATTCGAGCTAAAATGGCATCGGCACATCATTACATACAAAAGCATTATCAATTCTGAATCGTAAGTCTGTCTTTCGTAAACTGTTTGCCGGATGAATACAAAGATTCATATGTCCATCCAACAGTCTATTCCTTTTCACGTAATAACCATCACAGTGTTTAAAGATTTCCTAAGAAAATGATCAACAGCATCGCCGAACAAGAGGCACTTTATTGACTGATAGTTCGATGTCGATGTCTAATAATCGTATTCATCATTTTTCAAATTGAAAGCTGTATAAGTATGAAGATTTATATACGCATATTTAGAATCGATAGCTCTCTCTTTGAGAACTTGGCTGTCTCATTTTCCTGATGCTCAGCAGTTAACGACCCCAGTTGTTAATGAACTATGACTGTTCTAATTAGTTTTAATCGTTTCGTGGAGTTCTCCAACCCGCAAATTGCCAAAGTTTTTCAACTTGTGGTTAAAATTTATTCTTCAACAAACGAATGAAGTTGCTCGTAAAGGTGAGAAGCTGAAAGTTCTTCTGATTCATTTATGCAATTCCTATCAATTTATGCAATTGAGTTTCATTGAATAGTTGCTGAAAACAAATGAGCTTTGGAATTTCAGACGTTTTTACTTCATGGTGTAAAGATAATCGTCATGCAATATTCATTAGTGATTAATCAAGAGAAATGAGGCAGAGGCCTGGAGAGCGCAATCAGGAATTCAGTAGAGCCACTCCGTTTATCGTGGATTTACGAGTGTATCGAATATTGAAATGTAAAAATATACGAATTGAGAGGAATCTGGAATAACAGGGGTTTACTCAGCAATTATAATAGGGTAATTCCTTTATGAATTTTGCAAATGATTCTCAAAATTTCAAGTATTTCGTCGAGGCCATATTTGAGATAATAGAATAAATAAAAGTGTTTCACTCGCCTTCGGCGCGCACTACACACCTCCCACGGGTTAAACAACACTTTTCCCACGAGTGTCGAATCCTATTTTTCATCAAGATGTATGGAAAATGCCATTTCCGCACGCGAAACGTGCGTAAAATTTCACTTTACGTACAAGTGATGAAAAAGCTTTAGAGCCCATTCACTGCAAAAACAACGCGTTTGACAAGCATCTGAATTTCACATGTCAGACAGAAAACAGACGTCTGAATCATAATAAATATCTGAAATTCGTCAAAATGTCTGACAATTTCAGATACAACTTGTGTCAAACAAAGATTTTTTTAATCTGAAAAGATTCAAATATTCCCTTTCAAACATTTTCTACGTCTGAAATTTCTTCATTTGTAAGCCATTCAGACATTTGATTCTTTAGAGGTATTGTCTGCATCAGACAGCTAAGCCCTTTCGGACAGAAAAATTTCAAACACATCGTTTGTCTAGTATTTTGATTTATTCTCGTGCTTTTTTCAGCGATTTTTGTTTTATCCCAAAAATTTTGCAAAATCGAACCCCACAGGGTAACTTTTGAGCCTCCTCTCCTCTTTGTTGAAAATTCATTTGAAAATTCTAGCTGCATATGCATATGGCTACCACATGGTTAGAAAAAAATGAAATTTCATGGACAGTTGACACTGAATGCGATTTAGGGGGAAAAAAATCATGAAATTTCAGGTTTCACTGAAAATTCTGCAAAATTCCAGAATTTTAAGCAACATAAAGACAAGAGTTCCTTAATTTATTTGAATTTCCAATCTAATATGAATATTCCGTGCAATATTACATTAAATTTTCTGTGAGATCTGAAATTTCATGATTTTTTCTCCCTAAATCGCATTCAGTGTCACTGTCCTGAAAATTCAAGAATATATTTACCGGAATTTTCTGGTTTACTATTAATCTCAGGGAATAATGGGATTGAAATTTAGAGTTCTCTTCGATTTTTCCACGAATTTGTGAATTTTCAATGACGAAATTCCTTGAAATTTCAGTGATAATTAAATTCGATAAAAATTTCCAAAAAGTGTCCCGGAAATTTCAGACAAAAGTTTCTAACAGTCGATCGCAATTGGTCTTCAAACGGAGTTGTCTGAAAATGAGACATCTTTGCTCGATTCAAACCCTTTTTGTCATCTGAAAAATCTCTGCCTCCAAATGGCCTCCTCCAAAGTATTTGAAAAATGTCTACCAAAACGTTTGGAATTCAC